TCCTGGTTTGGCAAGCCATCTGCACGTGCGGGAAGCGGAGTGCACCTTTCGTGACCCAGGACACGATGAACGGACAGGTGTACATAAAAGAGTGCCTCCAGAAGCGGCTGCTTCCTCTCCTGAAGGCCCACAACGTACCAACAATCTTCTGGCCGGATTTGGCCTCATGCCACTACTCCAAGGACGTGCTGAAGTGGTATGCGGACAATAAGGTCAATTTCGTGCCGAAAATGTTCAACCCTCCCAACACTCCGGAGCTCCGCCCCATCGAGAAGTACTGGGCGATTATGAAGCAGCACCTTCTTAAACGACCTAAGGTAGTGAAGACAGTCGAGGAACTGAAGAAAGTATGGGCTTACATGCAAAAAACGGTTGATTCACAGGTTGTGCAGAATCTTATGGCCGGGGTTAAGGCCAAGGTGCGGGCATTTGCGTATGGACTGTAAATAAAATACGAGTAAAATGGTAAAATGAAGTTTAATAGTTATTTCTCAATCCCTGAAAATTTTATGGCAATCGGATGAAAACTCGAATTTTGCGAATCAATTTTGTGTGTGGCAATTTCATCGTGGACACCCTTTAAGTGAATCGAGCCAGCTCTCCATATTTGGTTTTTCTTAACCCAAGTTTTGATTTTATCGCCAAAGATGACTCCTCCTAACACAGAGATGTTCCACGAACAGAGCCAACGGATTCAATGGTCTCTTTTGCCCAAACCTCACCGCAGCTCAACAAGTGCTGTAAGATTTGAGCAGTTGCTGGATTAGCAGCCTTTATGGCAGCAATTTTGGCTGAATTCAGCAAGTTATCAAGACCTTGTTCTTTGAAAAGTTCGATACTGCGTCTGTATTTCGAAAATCTTGTCAACTGGCTAAACTCCTTGGGCTTTCGACCTCGAGGCTTTGACGGTCTTCGCTGACTGTTGGAACTGGTATCCAAATCCGGAGTGGCAAAAGGAGGTGAAATAAGAGATGATTGTGACGAGGGATCTTTGGGTTTCCTTGAATGGACCCGCGTATTTTTCGAAGGCCTGGATCCTGAGGGTTGGTCTTCGACCTGATAAAAATAATTGATGATGAATTATATTCAAGCATTTGTTCGTAAAATTTTGGGTCGGTAGTTTTTGTTTAGGATTTTTATAAAATATTCATACAAATATCAAAGACAAATCTTCTTCTAATCGAGGTTGATGCTATTGATTATTTAGTAACATGAACAAAAACAGGTTTCATCAGCAGTATGTCTTGCTTTACATTAACGCATTTCCACGCTTTTACTAATTTTCATTCAGGTTCAATTTAAATTGGTTTGGAATCCGTTGTTTTTTGAAAATTTAGCATTTCGCTCAACAGGTACAATTTTTCCGAACTGTTAATTTTTTTAATGTTCGACGGTATCGTTTTAAAAACGTTTCTTCGTTAATTTATGCTGCTTTCTAAAATTAAGCACGCCCAGGGATTCTTACCTCGAATATGCTTTCAAGCCACTCTGCATTCTTCTTAAAGAACCAATCCTTACTGTGGGTTTTTGACCATCGCCGATCAAATTGACCAATCCAGTTTTTAACACCTTGTGCAACAGCCGCAGGTGCTTTCGACATTGCCCTAGACACAAAGTCAAGTAAACGATATTTTTATTTGACAGCATTTTGTTTTATGAAATTCAGTGGAACCCACTTAACACCACGTAAGAACTGCAGTACACTGAGCTACTGTCACGCAAGAAACAAGAGTAAGCAAATAATTCTTTTGGATTGGGTTTCGATGTCGAGATTTCACATTTTCGCGTCAAAGTGGTCTTCGTGGTCGAGTGGTTAGCGGCGTCACCCGTCTAACAGCTATTTTGCGTGTGCCATGGATCAACTTTGCCGAGAAATCATCCGTCTAAATTGTCAGGATCTTGAGATACAGCAGCACAAACATATACACTTTGAATTCTCACTAGCGCTACCTAGTGGAGGAATTCCGAATTGTTATGTCCATCATCCAACAATCCTTGACCCCCTGATCAACTTTGCCCAAGAAATCATCCGTCTATATAATCGGTATCTTGAGATACAGCATTCAAATCATGCAAAATAGGAGATTTTAGGGCAAAACTGTGAAAAACCCCAACTTACCTTATTGTGCCCAAGATGAAACCCACTCCAATCGATTCCTGAGACTTTTTTCTATAAGAATGACTATTTTTTAGTCTCTTGTTCCAGCGAGCACCGAAGTTATTGAATTTTAACACATTGTTTCGATTTTGTCCCCAGTGTGCGTCGGTAGCATTGGTGCTCAGCACGGAAAACAAGATCGACGGAAAACAAATCAAGGAAAAAAAAAATTACCGTAGAATACATCGAGAACTTGGGATTTCATCTGAGGGTTGTAGAATGGGAAAAACGTTTAGGTTAACAAATGCGACTTGTTGAAATACAATACAGAATTATGTGGATTCCACTATACAATAAAATATTACACGCGGCACAAACACAAGCAATGTTCTCGCACAGCAGATAGTAGAGCGATATGTTGACTTGCTGTACAACCATCGAGGAATATTAACCATGCATAGCGAGGAGCGAGCTTATCCGCAGTTAGGTGAACGGCCACGCCGATTTTAGAGACAATGAGCGACTAAAGCGAGGTCAGCCTCGTGTGTAGGTACCGAGGTATATGAACCATACATAGGGTAAATCGAGCTTACCCCGTAAAAGTCTACTACCGATTCCACTACCTACCATACACATACCTGCTATCAAGTGGTCGGAGGAGTGTCATAAGCAAGAGTTTCGACGCGAGTAGTTTATTAACACTTGAAAATGCTTGATGTTGGGATGTTATGTTTAATAGAATCTACCGCTAGTCATGGGAAGCTTGGTTCTATTAAGTCCTCAGAAAAAGCTTGAACTTTCCCGAAAAGTCTTTCCGAGAAGTTCAAGTTTTACCTTCCAGATTAACATACAGGCGTCTGTATTGACACAAAGTTCGGTCTATTTTGGCTTGATTTATTTCACTTTGGCTAGTCTATAAATTTGTATTAAAAAAGACCACTAGGATGGTTCAAAACATTTCAAGATGCCACAGTAGTTGTCAAACAGACTACCCAGCTTAGATAAGTTGTTTTTTTTTATTATAATATGAAGGTATGGAAGCATGATCGGAACCCTCGTCGGAATCCACAGGAAAATCAAATGGCATTGCCAGAAATCTATCACAGTTTCAGCTCGTAGCAAAAGCTGATAATGAACAATGTAAGTCCTCCACGTTGTCCACGTCAGTCTTTTTTACTCAACATATCTCAGTTATCCTGGACACCAGTAGTTTTGCTAATTTTCTAAATGATCATTCAGTCACGTCATGAAAAAAAAAAATGCGTTGGATAAAAATCGGTGATGAATTATCACTTATTCACTGAATTCTGGAGATTTGATTTAATATTAGTATTCGCTTCAACTAAATATTAATAATAATGATTAATGATACACATTTCCTTTGAATCGGTTGTATTGCAGAACAAGAATAATTATAGATTCTTCACTGTGCCACACACATCCTGTTAATATGTATTGCGAGCACATAAATGGTAAATATTGTAGTTAAATAACACTTAAAAGTTCGCATTGTTCGCATTCATGTTCTGATTCAAATGATTCTGAAGCATTATTGTTTTTGTTAATGATCTGGTATGAACGTCATGCTATATCACGCTAGCATAGTGTGAACACCTCCACTTGATATCGATATCATCTCGCTATATTACGTAATATAGAGCGTAATGAGAACAGGGTATTAGCAGCATACATTTTCGATCTACGGCCCCGGGTTGGTTAAGAATACGTCTGTGGGAATAAACATGCAAAATCGTTACTTTCAATTTAGAAACCTCCAGTCTCGATCGATATCGAAAGTTTCAACCTGTTCCGAATCGAAGGCCGTAGTATGGGCTACTGGTAAAGATGGAAAAGATAAAACCCCCCCATAGAAGTGTCAATTCTTCTGACAAGTTTTGTCACCGAGCCAAACCTACAAACGAATTAGAACGTTTCAAAAGCTGAATAGAAGCAAGTTCTTTTTTCACCAATAAGCAGGATCTGTATCAATTCTCAGAATCATTCTGCCATGCCCGTTTTCTCACAGCTACAAAAAAGGGCAATAAACGAACAAATCCTTTCACCAATGCTAGATTATTTAATAAACGAACCATAGGAGTTGAATACTCGGCTTCCTGCTTGCTTTGATAGGAAGTAGGTGTGGAATTTTGGCAACCACCGCCCAATCCGCCTACTTTGCAGAACTGTGGAGCCATTGCCAAAATACACGAGCGATAGATTTCTGCAGGTCACAGCTGTGCCTCCGTCCGTGTATGCGAGTCTGATAGGCCTATTAAGCTTGGCTTCTCAACGCCATTTTAGTAAAAGGTTTAATGGTGGAGATTAAACTTTTTGCACGTCGAGGTATGGGAGGGAAGTTTTAAAACGGTTATATTTTTCGTGATAAGTATTTTAAATTATAAAAGCCGAAAGCTACCGATCTGACTATTTTTACTTTTTTTATTTCGAATATTTAATATAATTTGCCTACTGAGTATTTTGAACTTTTATGACCCGGAGAATCGTCGTAAGCATTATTTGAGAAATTGAAGCCTAATAAGATTTAACTCCCATACATCACCTCGAAAATCAACACGTTTTTCAAGATCGCCGCGAGAGGCCAAGTTTTTTTTTGGCCTATTGAATAACAACATCGAAGTCGGCCTTGCCGTAAAAAATCGTTTCTGGATTGCTAGAAACCGATCCGAAAGAGGAACCGGCGATTGAATGTACTGACCTGGGTTCAGATGATTTTTCAATCTGGTTCGCTGGTTAAGGAATGTGAATTCCGAGTGATTCGTAGTGGAGTGTTAAATTTATGACAATTTTATGTATCAATTTTCATTAGATGTTTAGCAGTGTTTATGTTCTATTTCTCCGACTTAAGTGTTTTTCGTATCCGCCTTTCTCTTCTATACTGCAG